GGAAGAGAGACGGTGGATAGGGGAAGGAAGAAGGGGGAGAGAGAGAAAGAGGAAGAAAGGCGCATCTTTTTCCAGCAAGTCAATCGATGAGATTTCGTCTGGTCTTACGCTAGGTACACCATCATCTAGGTTTGATCAGGCTTAGCTTTTTATTTTTTGTGCTAATTAAATCGCGCTAAGCATATGTAAACAAAAGCTTTTGAAATTTATCGCGATCTAGGTCTCTCGCTAAGAATCTTTTCAAGAAGGAGCGAGAAGCGAAGAGCTCTTTACAGTTAAGAAATTTGCAGCGCTCGAACTTTGTCGAAGCGGTTCTCGTGTTCCCTACATTATCCCATTTATGCAACGTTGCATGTCAAATATAAATTGACACATGATTTATTAGGCAGGAACATTCATGTAAGTTATATCTTTTCTTGTATCGATAAATGGAACGACTTTTTTAAAAGTAATATTATATTATACTTTATAACATTCTTACGTAAAGACTTTAATCGAGGTAAAAAATAATTACGCAAAATTAGTACACGTCAATATTTTTATTGATCGTATCGCTGTTAAAGGACAATTCATAGTTTATTCAATTAAAAAATTTTCAGATATAAATATATATATTTATCGAATATATATACTTTCAGGTATAAATATTTTACTTTCTTGTGTTTCTTTTACACATTTTACATAGCTTTGCATATTTTTTCTTAAAATTTTTGAAAGCATATGCGCGGACTTACGCGCAAGTGTATGTGATCAGCGTCTGACCAAGCGCGGTTTGCACTACTTGCGGCGAGCGCCACTCGTTCTGACCATAATTACGTCTATACTACTTAAGTAGACTAGTGTCCGCGATGTAATGTGTGTATCGACCTCAACTACTTACATTGGCTACTTTTATCAGCAATATAATCGAGTGCTTATTTTCTCATTACTCTTTTGACAAGGCCGTATTTTTTTATTAAAGATATATCTCTATAATACTCTTAACTTGATAAAATATTAATTTTACTAATGTGTTTCTATATGATAACTTCTTAATGTTTTTATTAACTTTTGTAATGTTAATTGTTTTATTATATTCTATTAGTTATATTCTAAAAGTAATAATTCAAAATGGATGTAAATTATTTTTAATTGCATTAACAAATCTTAAGATATATATAATATTGCAATTAAATAATATCGATTTTTAATATCTTCGATTATTACATGTGGAATATAATAAAAAAAATGTATATACATGTATGAATATTTTCAAGTGTTTTTATAATTTGAACAATGATCGATTATTTTTTATGAATTTTCCTACATCTTATTTTATTTTTCATACAAAATGGCTAATAAACTTAATTTGGAAATATTTTATAAAATAATTTTAAAATAAAATAAATCAATTTTTTAATGCGGCATAAGTTGCGTCAAGATTTTCAAACTTTAGATTTACATCGCTCTTCGAAAATGATATGTTTAATAAAAGTTCGTGACAATATCGAATTTGCGAGATATGAATAAATTTGACAAAGCTTTAAGCCAACCGCTGACTCTGACATGTGTGTTTTTCCCACAGGTGGAGGAGATCCGCGAAATGATAGATAGGATCCAGACGAATGTGGAAGATGTGAAGAAAAAGCACAGCGCCATTCTCTCCGCGCCGCAGACCGACGAGAGTGAGTTTAATTTATCACCTTGTATTACTTGCCCCATTTCTTACGCGAGGTACGTGTGGATATATCCTACGAGCTCGATTAGCGTTTCCGAAGGCAAAAAGCGGAAATCGTGTTCAACGTGAAAATCTCTATTTCTGGAAATTTGTTGGTCATATGCGACGACCAGCCTGAGAATTAAATTTAACGATAACCGAGCTTGATCAAATATTAGCGCATTCTGTGCTAACACCGACGCGTCTGTTTGCTCGATGCGATCATTTATGTGAGATTCAAATCGATACAATTTCAAATCGGTACATTGGAAATCTTGTTAATACACAACCGGATAAAAATAATCTCTATTTATTCGTCAAAAAATACAAGATGGTTATTGCGTAATATTTTGTTTTCTTTTCTCTCTCTTTTTTTTCTTTTCTTTTTTTTTTTTGTATTTATAGCACATCGAAAATCGAACTCGTCGCTATGTCGAGATCTAATCGCTGTTATTTATATTAAACAATTATGTCATTTAATATAAATAACATGCCGCATATTCATCCTCTCGGCCACCGATCGTCAGAAGCAAAGTGAATATTCGGGTGGGGCGAATCAACCCTTTGTTCCCGGTTAACCGCTGATCCTCCGCGATCTCCTCCTCCGTCGGAGGCTTGCTAAGAGTCAAATTCAAATTTGCTCACTGTACTACATAATTCAAGAACTTATCCGTCTTTCTAAGGTCGATTTACTCGACATCAGCGCGCTTTCAAGTCGGTCGGTTGCCCTCGTTCCTCGTCGAGATACATCCCGCTCATCTTCGAACGTCGGTGCTGAATATTTCATTCGGCCGAACGCACGCGTTATTTGCTAAAAAGCTTTCGCCGAGCACACCGCACACCGAAATCCGATATTCCAGCGCGACATTTTATTATTGGAACACAGTGTGACGTACAACGGAATGCCACGAACTTCAAATATACTGTTGCATTGAATTTTGCGCATGCAGTTTCCTCGGGCGGGAACTATCGGATTTTTGGCATATTAAATATTTTGGATTTATCGAATCCCTGATACAGCACCGCTGGGGAAATGATCTTTCGAGAGAACATTGATGATTTAATTTAATTTAATTCGTCGACTCGAAAGAATTAACGAGGCTTGTAAACTTTCGCTTTGGTATAAAGCGTAACCCGATCGGGAGAATCGATGACGAAAGCTTGAACAGCCGTTAATTGAAAAGACTCGGTGAAATGATTTCTCCCGAAGGATGTTTCCATTATAATTCTCCCGCTCATTGCGAGCAACTACCGAGGAATCCGACGTGTTGGCTTTCGCAGTTTCGCGCAGTGATAATCGAGATCTCTGATATTCCGACAAGCGCGGCGCCGGCGAATTCAATAGCGGGAAATGCAATGCGGGAGACCGGTTAAATTCGAAAAGTGACTGCTGAAGAGAAGAGGTGAAAGAGATAGTGGTGTGGCCAGGATGTTTGCAAGAGAAGATAGGAGGAAGACTCAAGAAGCAGAGAGAGAGGGGGAGGAAGAGAGAGAGAGAGAGAGAGAGAGAGAGAGAGAGAGAGAGAGAGAGAGAGAGAGAGAGAGAGAGAGAGAGAGAGAGAGAGAGAGAGAGAGAGAGAGAGAGAGAGAGAGAGAGAGAGAGAGAGAGAGAGAGAG